TCGAGGAGGTGAAAGCGGGCACCAAGGACGGCGAGGGAGGCCGGTGAGAGGCGGACGAGCACGAGCACCCGCCGCGACACTGTCATTGTAGGAGCTGACCCTAAACTTGCTCTCTCTCTCTCGGAGCTGGACGAAAGAACACAAGAAGATAGTTTTCTGGCAACTAATGCCCCCGGAGCACAAGCGCTTGCACCTCCTTTTGACTGCCAGCTTACAAATCTTTAAGTAGCCTTAGCCTCAGGCACGCATGCATAGCCGCTGCACCATGCTGGCCACTAACCGCATGAGCCACACGACCTTGGCGTCCAGCCATAGCTTTAAATAGCCGGCTATAGCTTTGTTGTAGCCCGCTATAGCCTTTTCAGCAGGATGTTGCTAAGAACATCTTCAATAGTTTGTATGTTAGCTTGTTGGTAAAATATGTCATGTCATCAACCAACACCTTAACATACAACAACTTCAATGGATTGTATCTAGTTTGCCCAATAGGATGTGAGGCAATAAATAAGGTGTTCGGATGTGAGATATCATTCTACATCGGAGCTTGTGCAAGGGATGTTGGTTCATGTACATACAACTTTCTTCTCTTCCCTCATTTATTGCATGACACATCATCAAAAACACTATATGGCAAAGTCTACCAACAACTATCTTACAACTATTGAAGATGCCCTAAATGATCTTATATACAAAATAGCTCTCTATAGCTCGGCTATTGCTGATTTGAAGGTCCGTCATTATTTAGCATGGCCTGCTATTTAAAACACTGCGTCCACCTAACAAACCCACGAACTAACTACTTACTAGCTAACTACATGCACGGTGCTTGATCCGAACGCTTCGTCCGCACACAACGCCCTCCAACGCGCACGCTGCGGCCATACACACATGCGCACACACGCACTTCACTCATACTCACATACGTACAGCCACCGCCGTGACCCAGCCCATAGACCCGACCAGCTGCACGCACCGACGCCGATCGCACTGCCAAGAACCCGACCTGGCGCACTTGACACCAGCCATACCGTGCTCCGCCACGGCTTATTCCCAACAGACATCTGCATCCTCGAAGAAGAGGGCATGTTGGGCCGGCCAGGTGGTTGCCGACGCCATTTTGGTGGTGATAAATAAAAAAATTGCACCTGATTGTCAATTATGAATTGCCCGGGCGACCCGGGTGCCGAATCCTAGCCGCCGCCAGACCTAGCCCCCACCCTCTTCCCCTCCCCCCGCCGCCGTCAGCGGGCGCCGCCAGGCAAAGCCCGAGCGGTGCTGACGACGGCGGGATCTCTTCGCCCTCACCTGTATCAGGGGCCGCGGGGGGTTCCTCTTCGGGCACATCGGCGGATCTCGGTGCCCTAGCGCGGCGGGTGGCGCGCAGGCGGTGGCGGTGCGGGGCGGCACGGCCTGCTGGCCGGTGATGTCGCGTCACGGCGGAGTGCG